CACACACACACACACACATACTTAATACATACGTATACACCACATACATAATTTGACACCATCACCAACATAACAAAAAAAACTTTTGATTAACCCCTCGAACATCAGCTTCATATTTTCTCAATAATTTAGCCTTTATCATTTTACCAAATAAATTTATTGAGTCAGCATTTTTATAATCGCTGTCCAAGTTATTCCACAATCTTATTCCTTGAACTGAGGTACATCTAGCCTTCAAGTTTATTCAAATTTTAGGTTTTATAAACATTTCAAATCCTTTCAAATTATAACAACTTCCCCTCTTAACAAAATTAGATTGAATATTCAAAGGCAATACATTTCTATGAGCCCTATACATAATAAACAAAATCTTATAATCATCATTGTTAACAGGCTGAATGATTTTCAATGCTAAGTTTAACCGCATGTGCTATACTCACAAGATGACAGAAACAAATAATCAAAGTAAAACATAACATCAAACTGAACACCCTGAGAGCAAACATGTTCTTCAGAGACYTACTTTTCAAACAGGAAAGTCAAACTGTGGAGTGAGTGTGTTATGACCTCTGCTGTTGAATTTGCACACATATGAGCCACCAGCACTGTTACTTTTACATCTGATCACCAGCAAAGGACAAACAGAGAACAATATTACACACATGAAAACAACAGCAAGCGTTTTTATTTTGCACCAATGTAATGAACCAAAGTYCTGTAGATATCAGAGTCTAAATGAGTAATTGTAACGCTTTTATGCGATAATCGTAACCCAGAGGAGTTTTTCTTTTTATTAACAAAATCCAGGGGTGGTGTGGGAGGGAGACGGGGAGAAAGTGGATCACAGCGAGATTATGATCATGTCGAGGTGGCWGGAGTATATGCTCTGGCAAAGAAGCAACAGAAGGGGAATGCCCAAGGGCAAAAGAAGTCATCATCAGCATAATTTTTAACTCAAGATGTTCAGTCGTCGAGATATCTGAGWCTTCCAGCTCCAGCTACACCCCGAATCCCCCACCCTCCCACCAGAGATGAGTCCCGGCCTGACAGCTGAAGCATGAGATGGGCTTGAGGGCTGTCACTGCGGAGCCAGAGTCAAACAGAGTGAAGGATGGAGGGATTAAGGTGGAGAGGAGAAAAACAAGGAGGGAGGACCTAGAAAGCAAGGCGCCCGCAGAAGAAATAAAGCCTGATCACAAGTTTACCTCATAAAAATAAACTGTTTTCTCAGTTTTAATAGCCACTTAGCAGCGTGACATCAAGTTTCAACGAGCAGCTATGAAGTTAAATTAACTCCGAGTTCAAGTTTGGGCCTCGCTATAAATCCAACGATCAGTTTCTGCGGATGAACAGCCGAGAAAACATGAGAAACTTTTCATGCGCTGAAACATGTAGTGATTTTAACTGTGCTGAAACGAGCCCAGCTATTCTAAAAGTATTTATTGTAATAGTCAAATCTGATCATTTAAATAATCTGAATCTGAATTTGTGTTGTGTATTATTCCATTTAATTTAGAGGAGCTGTGTGTAAATACTGATTTAATGACAAAACATTTAGTTTCTTATAAATAGTTTTTGAATTTTTACACGATCATCAAACAAGTTCTGTTAGAAGCTATTAGAGCGATCTCATATAAACACACACTCCAAATCTTTTATTTTTGTTGCCTTGTGAAGCTACAGTGACAGAGGCAGCACACAGTGGCTTTTCCTGTGTGTCCACTTTAGTCAATACATTGTGAGATTATGACTGACTGAGTGTGAAACTCTTCAGAGCCTAACAACACAGAACTCACCTCCTGTCAGCAGAGGAAAAAATACAGGGGTAAATCCCTGCTGCCAGTTAATGAAACCTGCTGTGGGTACAGTGCTTTAAGGCTTTTGCTAAATTTAAAATTTATTAGTGGATTAGCACTTGCTAAATTTATAGGCTAAATTTAGAAGCATTAACTGAGGTCTATAAATGTTACTGATCAACGTTAATGTTTACTGCTGAGGGTGAAAAGTGTCACTCTTTTTGTTCATGTGTGTCACTTATCCACCAGGTGACAATAAATGAACTCAAATACAGCTGTTGAATATCAATAATAAGTCTTAATAGAGCAACATGACAATATGTGACTCGTGTTGTCTGTTGAAGAATGTTCATGGGTTGCCTGGGTTATTTTAGAGCTTTATAATTAGCTTTTCTTAAAACTTTCAGTGCATTAGTTTAGAATTAGGGGACTAAATATTTGAGTTAGTGTTTCAGGGGTAGCGGAAATGAATTTTAGATTTGTGCTACTCACCACTGCCTATTGCCTTAGAAAACAGGAACTTCTGCAGTACTTTACCACTAKAACAAGTAAAAGCTACAAGTAAGAAACAATTAGAGGCATGCAGTATTTTCACATTTATGGACCTAATGTAATAATCTGTCATTTTTTGCATTTTTTTTAAATATGTTTTTCTAGTTTATATGTTTTTTTTGGTCGTGGTTTGATCTGTCTGGTTTCCAACTGCTAATGAGAAAACAAATGTTTTATTCTCCTCATGAAACACAGTTTAAGCCAGCAAAGAGAACTAATGGGGACAAATAAATATAAAGCTTATAAAGGTCTCACGTCATAATATCATTTAATACAGGGGTCCCCAAACTTTTTCTTGTAAGGGCCACATAACTTTTCCCTTCCCTGGTGGGGGGCCGGAGTCAGTTTGTAACAGAAAAAGTGTGACTATTGCAGGAGTGCCTAAATGTAAAAAAAATTATTGTTTTCCAGAAAGCACAATCAAATAACCCTCTCTGGGTTCTTCACAGTATGTATTCTACTGAGCTAACAGTCCATCTTTTAGCTTTGAGCGTTTGTTTGCTCACATTTGGCCTTGCAAGCTATCATACTTGTCTTTGTGACGGGATTCATAGTGTCGCCACAGATTGTATTCTCAGAATACCCCCACCACCTCTTGACAGATGAACAAAAAAAATAATCGTTTGTCCACTGCAGCTTAAATGCCCTGCATTCTGAATCAAATTMTCTCTTACCTAATCTTTTCACCATTATTCCGTTCTCTCTTTGAGAGGGGCGGGTTTAGGATTTTTTTCTGGGGGT